TTAACATATTTTCCCCCGGGCAAGTGGTGTTAAGAAGCACAAATAAAAGTAGTCTAGCCTGGGTTCCCTCCTTCACTCCACAGATCTGCCATAGTGCCGGAAAAATCTCTCATGGGAGATGTTAAGTCTTGGCAGTGTTTAAATTTCCACGTAAAGCACTAATACCCATTAGAGGAACCCACCTTATTAAGTAATACCTGAAAGAAACATGTATCTCTCAGTTATTTGCTAATAGGTACGAAGGGCTGAGTCTGAAGGAAGGAGACATGGAAGAGCTAAGGACTAAGCATAAGTGCTACTAAGTGGGGAAATTCTGGAGACAATCCCATCCAACCTTACAAGCAAGGCTCAACCAGGTTTCCATGGTACAAGAGCCTCTTGGCTCTAAATAAATAACTCTTGGCTTAACATAGTCAGTGTATGTGCAAACACTTCATACACAGAATCATGAATTCTCTTTATTCATTTGCATCAACTATATAATCAAATGTGCTTGTTTCTGGAGCATTTGCTTTTTGGTATTCATGGAATTCACAAGGTCAGATAGTTAGCCAGATGCAAGAAAAAGTAATTAAAAGCTACATAAAAAATAAAAAGCATACAAAACTTCCTCATGGCAAACAGAATGGCCTCACCCCGCCCTTTTGTGAATGGGCTTAATGACTGGCCCTCAGAACATCAGCAAACTGACCAGTCAGAATGCAGCAGTTCCTTGATCCCAAATGCACAGGAAATGCTAGTTTTCAGAGGCTGATAACAAAACTTCAAAAGTCCTTGATAACAGAACTTTATAAACAAACAAAAAATCAACTGAATAGGGTAAATTTCTCATTTATTAGCTAATAATAAGACTATAATCATTGCAAAAAAAATCCTAGAGAATACAAGATGATGAGTAGCACTGAAAATGGCAACAAGGGCCCTTGAAGTCACTTCTGAATGTTTCTCAGCACTAGTTCTAAGAGGGCTGTAATTTTTGTGTATATGAGGTCACCTGGCTGAGCAGTAATGTACTTGATACCCACAGATTGTAGAATCTCTTCTTTCTTAAAGCTCTGAAGAAGGTCTCTGTGATCTACCCCGAGGCTCTCAAAATCAGAATTTTATCCTATTAATGTGTTGTGTTGGGGTTGTACCTTTTAAGCTAAGATATTCAAAAACTAATTTCCTAGATAAGAAGATTTTTTTCTTCCCCATTAATGATTCTACAATCAACTGGTTCACATTTGGTATTCATGAGGTTACAAATTCAATTCCTATATGGATCAATTAGTTTCTACTCCACAAATATTTGTAGTTCTCACTAGTACCATGATCTGTACTTGGTACTTTGTACTTGGTCCAGCTAGCAAGCATCTTAGTGAAAGGGAATAGGACCACTGCTTAAAGGGGGAACTTGTGTGTATCTTCGACATATGTTTTCAGCTAAATGTGGGTCAATGAAGCTGTCTTGAAATAAAAAAAGGAAAGAACATAGTTCTGCCTAAGGAAATATGTCTCAGGGATGGGTATATAATTTGAATAGCAAAAACATTTCCCCATTATTAGTGATTCTTCTGCAAATATGTTTTTAATGTACTTAATTATCCAGAAGAATACAAAATGGAATCACAACATCCTAGATAATCTGAAAGCCATTTTTATTTGACTTTGGATTCAAATGCTTACCATTCCAGCACAAACCCACCTTCCTCATTATGTTTTGCTTAACTTAAAGATGGGCATTGACCTGATTCTTTGGAAGGCATTGAACTTGACCTTTTGTGATGTATTATCTATCAGATGCTCATTTTATACTATCCTTGAGATATTTTTGTCAGCTTCTTCACCCTTTTTTCCCATCCATGAATCAGGCAGGAATTCACACCATGAATTTTCCTGCGATTGAATACAGTTAAAGCAGAGATAGGTAGTAATTTTCCTTACATATCTATTCCCTCCTATGAAGTAAGCATTGTAAGGACCAGGTTTATGTATTATTCATCTTTGTATTCCCAGGATGTAGTAGATCCTCAATTAATGTTTATTGAATGAATTAAGTACAAAATAGGTAACAACCCATTAAAATATTTTGCCAGTTGATTCTATAATTTAAAAAAATCTGTTACTTTACCATAAAGCATTCCATTGCTCTGGGCAAACAGGTAAGTGGCTATTTACAAGGCAGATTTATATATAATTGGATATAATGTATTCTAATGATTTGAATTGATTTGGTTAGTCTCATTTGGATGAAAGACATTCAGTCCATTGGTGTTATTTATTTCCTTGGTGGTAATAAATGAGATTCCTTCTAATACCTTACTGATGGCAATTTGTATGTCAGTCGAACAGTTGGAATCTCACTTTTACAACGATGGTTTAGGGGCAAACAATACAACCCTTAAAAACCCATCTAATCCAGCTTTATGGTTTCATAATATGTCAGAGTCTTCATTTTCTTTGTCATGATAGGAAGACAGGACAGGATATAAGAAAAGCAGTGAGAGGACCATGGGGATTAAGGAGCTAAAGGACTTTGAGATAATGTAAATAAGCGTGGTGTGCTGAGAAACTGCTTTCCCTTTAATCTCTCACTTTTGTTTTCAGAAATATGTAGTACAGAAAATCAGGAATATGACAAATGCAGAAATTCCTAATTATCTCATGTGTAGTAAGATTGTAAAAGTGAAACAACGTTATAACCAATTTAGGGAACCAAGCAGAAGGCTATTTTATTATAGCAGATAAAATCTGGAGACAAACTGCACTGAAATTTATGTGTTTAGTGAACAGTCAAGGTGGATTACAGTTAAGAGCTGTTATTGTAATTATTGAAATAAAGGCAAAAGAGTTTAAATTTTTCATATGGTTTGAGTAGAGTTCTTCAAATTAGGCTTAGTTTTTATCTTCACAACCAGTGACAATGTGGACACAAAATTAAGTGATTTTTTAATTTTTTTACAATATATTTATTAATAGATCAAAAAAGTTCACTTTGACTCAATGAGCTGAATGGACTTTGGATTTAGAAATTACACATATCCCCCAAGAATTCAAACAAGGCTGTGAACCAGGAGTCAGGAGAGCTGAGTTCACATCTTGTCCTGCATATCATATGGTATAATTGCTGAATATCTCTTCCCTCAAATGTCTCCTTTATCAACATATGATGATATTACATGAATATTAGACAAAAGAGATAATTGATTTTAAAAAGCACTGTGTTAACCTCTTGAGAGAAATACATCATAGAAATATAGATGTTATTGTTATTTTTTTTTATGTCAGAATTAGCTGTATTTAGCCATCAGCTCTAGCCATCCAGCAAAAGATTTGGAAATAGTTCAGTGAAGAGTCACCCTAACAGTGAAAATTCTGGAAACAGATGTTACTAAAGAAAATGAAAAGAACTGGTATTTACATTTATTTCATTGATGGAATAGTTGAAGGAGAATGACATTATGGTTTGCTATTAGAGCAATGGTTCTCAAAGTATGGTCCCAGAACCAATAGTAGCAGCCTCACCTGGAAACCTGACAAAAATGCACACGCTAAGTCTCTGCTCCTGACTATTTTGATCAGAAACTCTGGGGAAGGGACCCAAAAATCTGGAGCTTAACAGTTCTCTAGGATGGTTTTGATGCATGTTCCAGTGTAAGAACCACTTCAAGTTGGTTAGTGGTTGTAAGTGGAATGATGGTAGTGAGTGGAGTTCACCATCACTAGAACAGAAGGGGAGGGATGAGCAGACCTTTAAATGTTGAACCATCCCTCCTGTCAACAGAGATAGCAATAGAGGAACATGAGGAAGTGATTTAGGGACAAAGACAACGAGAAAACCATTGGAAAGGGCTTCTTTTCTTTACACCCCCCAACCCCCTGGGGAGTTCAGAACACTGGTTACATTCTACATGTGGTTGTATCATCAAATGAAATTTAATATTCAAAGATAGTCTTTGTTTCTGTTTTGTTTGTTTTGCTTTTGTTGTTGTTGTTCTTATGAAGAGCCATAACTCTTCAGAAAACCAGTAAAAGCTGAAAGAGCCCCAAAAAAGTAGAGTACAGAGAACTGCCAAGTCTCAGCACAGGGGTGAGGAAAGGAATAAAAAGCGCACCTTAAATGTTTCTGGGTAGCATAAACCACCTGATAACATCGTACACAGGAGCCTTGCTAAGAATTCTGACCTCTGGGACCAGATGTGGAACTACTTTATCATGAATTTCAATTTCTTGTAATAATTTGCATTGAATGAAATGATGCCCTATTATGGGTTTCTCTTGGCACTTTGGTAACTAGAGCCCTTGAATAGATGACAGACCATACCCACCTGACATAATTCCTTCTACTTTTATAGAAAAATTTTTGCTACAGTGAAGAACCAAGATTTTTAAAATTTCATTTACTTTTACCTTATTATATGGGATAAGTACAAGGATGCATGGACATGTATGGACAGATTTTCAACAACTCACTTAACAAGCCTTCTTATGATCCCTTTAGGAAAGTTTGAGTCAAATATGTGAATAATATGACACTGAGAGAAATATCTAATATATCAGGTATCTTAATTAGGATAAAAATTATATTGGGGGAGGGCCTCCCCGGTGGCGCAGCGGTTGAGCGCTGGGTTGCGAAGCTGCCCGTGGCCTTCGTGGCGCCGGTTCGATCCCTGGCTGCTTCCCGGCCACTGGAGGAGGGTCCCACATGGCGCGCAGACCTCTCCTGCCGCCCGCTGCTCCCCTCAGCAGTGTACTTCGGTCCTTCTGCCTGCTCTGCTCCCTACTCTGGCTCTGGTGAATTCTCTCACCCTCCCGCGCTTCTGACTGTACCCAGTGCATGTATAAACCAAAAAACAAACAAACAAACAAACAAACAAATAAAAATAAATAAATAAAACATGCCTCTATAAAAAAAAATAAAAAAAATTATATTGGGGGAATAAGATAGTGGGTTGAATCTAAGGATAAAGGAAGTGATGCTTGACAATGTCAGACACAAAACAGACTTAAGAGTTTTAATATGCATCAATACTGCTTAATGATTGCTAAGAAAATTAACAGGTTTTATTCATAAAAATTGAGCACTTAGGGACAATTTCTTTTCAGTGATCATAACATGTCTGCTTTCCATTTGTTAGTCCACATCTAGAAAATCACATTCAATTCTGAATAACATATTTAAAAAGGCAAATTTTAGAGACAACTTATAAGTGATCAATGTACTTGAGATAATGCCTTCGGGATAGTGATTGAAGGTGCTCGGTGTGTGTAGCCCTGAGAAAAGGAGACTACGGAAAGAACATGATTTCTTCCTTTGTCTATGAATTGACAATAGGAAAAGACTGATCAGACTTACATTGTATATCTCATGGGTAAAACTTGGAATGATGGAAGAGACTCCTAAACCTTGATAAAAGAAGAAAGTGTTTAAACACTCTGAATTGTCCAAAGGTGGAATGGTTGATTAGAGAGGTGATCCACAAGAGACTAGCAGAAAAAATTCAAGCAAAAGGTAGACTAGATAGCCGCAATGGTTTTTTCATGATTGAATGTATTTTGGCTCTAGAATTTAAAAAGAAATTTGGCAGTAGCAAACATCAAAATTGCATTATAAACACCATATTCATTTTGTATAGCATTTGCATCCCTGCTCTTCTCTGCTAATGTATGTAGTTTAAAGGTCAATGGTTTATAATATAGGAGCCTTCTTAAACACTGGCCATAATTTCTTTCAGTATCTTTATAAAATCAAGACAAGTCAACTACCATGTTTGTTATTTTACAGAAGAGCTGAGTCAACTTCAGAAATTTTAAAGGAATTATTTATAGTTATATTTAAAGTATATCACCTTTGATTCATAAAACTTTCAACTGTGCCTTTTGACTTCACCAACACACCCCTAAAATTCTCCTTAATTTTGATGAGATCATCAGTTGATTATCTCAAGTTCATCCAAATCCAAACCCATTACCCTATAATCATTGTAATATTTTATGACAGCCAATGTTGATACATTTTAAGTGAATGGGGAAATTGTAATGGGTCATCATTCTCTTGTGATCTTCAAGATACTGTAATAATCCTACTGTTAGCTAGGTCACACTTTCCCACTGAATATACCAGTTCTAACCCTGTAGGCAGAGGAAGAAACAACTCTGGGAATCAACAAACACTGATGACCTCATTTATGCATTACAATGCCACTGCATTTGGTCCATGTCATCACTGCTAGCTATGTTATCACTCTCCTCAACATGATACCCAAACCCACATCATGATGGTGTACTGCTCACAGTCTCATGGCAAGCATTTAACAGCTGTAAGCATGAGGAAAAACCAAGTGATTCTCGTTAGTCCTTGAGTTTATTACATGTTTAATACTAATCAGATTAACTTGATGGCAGGAAATAAACCTCATTCTCTGGAAGCTAATAAGAGGTAATGATGGAAAGGTTGAGAGGAGAAGCCTAAAGTGAGAGTTTTCTGATGGGCTAATTTAAGTGACTTAGGTAACTAAATACAAAGGATTAAACCAGAGTTAGGTTTAAGCCTCAAGTCCCATGTTATATTAATTAAGAGAAACTAATGTGAAAAGTCTCATTCTTGAAGAATCCTCCTCTCTATGTACATACCTGCACCAGAGAGTTCCCAATGTGCTGAGACTTACTTCACTACCATTACAGCTCTACAACATTGTGAAATCCCAGAGGTCTCTGTCAAACCAGGAATACAGAATCTCTCCAAATTTTGAAACAGTTGGTGGCCAATATATGCATGCAGTTAAGTTTGCATATAGGTCAATGACAACACGCACACACACAATATTTTTCAAGACTGGTTTGTCCCAAATCTTGGTGTCGTGACATTAAGTGTGATTATCTGAGCCTCATGAAAGGAGAGCCAATAAACTGGCAGAGGAATAGTCATAAGATGATGATTTAACATTCCACATTTTTGCTAGCTATATATAGTGCCATCCTTGAGGCTAACAGATGCCAGCGTTCCTAGATCAATTAAGTAGAGAAACCCTCCCTACAGCATGTTGGTAATAGCAAAGACTGCTAAATATCCATTTTTAAGAGTATCCCAGTTTAACATGTAGGAACCAAAAATACACACAAACCAAATGTTGATGCATTGCAGGACTTGCATGTTATGATTTCCTCTTGTATCTGGTAACTGCATGTTATTAGCTACACTTGGTACAACTCGATACAGCTTGACATATTCTGGGATTTATTAAAATGTAAATGACAAAGCAGAAAAGAATGTTCAGACAATTGGATTACTCCATTGACTGAATGTTCCAATACTGTATCTATTTTTGTCAAAGCAATGGTGGCTCCTGCTGTGGAATGCTGAATGGAATATTCCATTGCAGAGCACAGGGAGAACTTGCAAAAAGGAAATTGAAACCTAATCTTGAATTTCTAATTCACCTCTCTAAAAGCAACAGATTGCCAATACTTTTAAAAAGAAATTATGTTAATTTTGACACATAATAATTGGAAGATTATCATTCACAACTATGTATTCAGTGTGAATTATTGGATTTGTAACTTCATTCACAAAAACAATGATACATTTGCTTGTTTTTGCTCTTGGCCTTGGCTTGTTTTTCTTATGAACATGTGATGAGCATGAATATATGTGATATGCAGTAAATATGCACAATCCGAGAGAGACATTTTCCTGATGAGAACTCTTATGTATTCCAGAGAAGAGAGGGCTGGGAGGTAGGTGTCTTTAAGGACATGAAGGGATTGAGTTTAGAGAGAATGGAGACCAGCTGTTCTTTCTCTCCACAGGGAACAAGAGAAAATGGGATTAAACGACAGCGTGAGGGACTTGGGATCGAAATAAAATAGAATTTCCCAACTGTGTAGGCTCTTGAACACTGAAATGAGTTTTGAAGGGACTATGTGAACATTAGTTTTACATTGATGCTTTTAAAAAATGCAAAGGCACATTTTCACTATCTGGTCTTATGTGGATGAAGAGCAGACTAGATGGTTTATGGTTCCTGGATTCTCTTAATCTATGAGTAGAATCTAAAAGTGAGGTGTGGTGGTAAGCTAAGAGAAGTACCTTTTTAAATGGTAGTTACTTTTCAAAGTCAATTTTACTCATAAGGACAGACTGGCAATTTTTACCTGTGCTGGAAATGTTAAACTCAATGGAATGTCATGTAATAAGGTGGGTGGAACAGAGAATATGGAGCACAATGAACTCTTTTATTTTCTCCTCCCACTACCATTTCTGCTATAGAGTAGTTCACATTTAAAGGCAAATATGTGTGGAGTTTAACATATGCATATTTATTTTTGAATTTGTAAGAATATTATTGGGGCTTCTGGGGATCTTGCCCTCTTTACAGTTTATGTGTGTGTGTATACACACATATCCATACATACACACATATAGTTATAGATCCATATACACACTGGTACATTTTTCAAAAAAGAAGTTGCAATCTAACAAAATGAGTCTATAGTGCTCACATTTGATTAGCAGAAAAATTTGAGTACTGGGGATTCAAATAGGTACCAATTCAATTCTTGCTTTTAAAAATTATGACTACAGTAGATGTTGTCTTTTGATTTCAAGATAATTGTATTTTTCTTTTCCCTGACACAGTTTAGTCTCAGCAAAAGAGGTTTGTTGTTAGTCAGAAACCTGGAATCAGATTTTATCTCAGTCAGGAACTGGCTGTTGACTTGGACAACATAGTGTCTCTTAAGAACGAATTCATATTCTGAGGAACAAAAAGTAAAATGAAGATAAGTCCGATAATTTTTAACGTTTCTCTTTTTGTTTTTAATATGCTGTCAATTAATAATACCCAAAGTTCTTGATCCCTGAGCTCTGTCCCCACAGGTAAATAAATCTCAGATTTGGCTACAAATTATAATCACCATAAGACTTTAAAAATCAATCCCAATTTCTTGGCCACACCCACACTAATTAAATCAATCTTTTGAAGGACTCAGGTATCAATGATTTTTAAAGTCTGTAGGTGATAACAATGTGTAGTCATGTTGAAAACTCCTGTTTAAAGTACAGTGCAGGGAGAGGGCCAGAAATAATTTTATTATTGCTACTTTACTTAGAAGCACACTGTGTCCACTTTATCCCCTTTTTTATCCCCAAGACCTAACAAAATGCCTGACATACAGGAGGTGCTCAGGCAACAATGAACATTTTAAAACTGGTCAATGCCTAAAAGAATTAGAATTTATCAAATCTGGTATAATTTGCTCATTTTCACTTTGGCCTTATTCACTGAATAAAAACTCAATTCTCTACTTTTGTTTGCCAGTGTAAATAATGGAGGAGAGTAAAATATAGGATAATCCTGTTGTAGTGAAGCCATTCAACTCTGCTTGGGATATAAGCAAGTCATCGATCACCATATCCTCTAGAAAACGGGGTCCCTTGGAATCTAGACTTGACTCCACACATGTAAGTGAAAATAAAACAAAAGGTCTAATATATATGTCATTCCTTCATTCAGTAGATATTTATGAGGTACTTACATTGTACCAAGCAATGTGATCATAGATTTTCTTTACTATGGATTTAAGGTAGACTTAAATCCTAATACCCTGTAGTGAATTAACTTCCTTTTACACATACAGTATAGTTTTACTTATTTATCATCCCTGGGAGAATTGAGAAAATTGTCACTCAAATCATTTGTTGTGCTGTGGTTGAGGTGACAATCTCCAGTTAAAAAAGATTTCAAGTGAAGGGGGTAAAATGACAAACATCAAACAGCACTGGTCTTTTAGAACAATGCTGTTTAGTAGAACTTTCATGGTGATGGAATTGTATCTCTTTGTTATTCAGTAGGGTGCATACTAGTCACCCTGTTGAGCAAGGCAGCTCTAGAATTTCGTATTCAGATGAAGGAGCCTGGCACATAAGCTATAATCAGGGTGGTAAGTGCTAATATGAGGTAAGCACAGAAGAAAGTACTCAGGCGAGGAAGCTTGTCTTAGGGGTAGTGGCAATACTAGGGGTGGAGACTTCCCAGAGGAAATGACTTCGAGGATGAGACCTGAAGGACAGTGATCGACTCTGGGAAGGGTAGAGGAGATTAGTACTGAGCATAAAGTTAAGTATGTGGAAAAGTCAAGAAGATAAAAAGAACATTAAGAAAGGGCAAAGATACATGGCAAGGGCCTAGAAGAGCAGTGGCAGAGGTACTTGATGAGTCCAGAGAAGAACATGGGCCAGGATTCAGGATATAAAAGGCTCTAGGTGTTATGACATTTCAGGGGCAACAGGAAGCCAGTGAGAAGTTTGAAACTGTGAAATGATATAATCATATGTACTTTTTAGAGAGATTTCCCTGATTTCTACTTGACAGCATTAAGCGGAAAACTGGAGGCATAATAGAGTAGCCCAGGGGAGACAGGAGTGTTGTCTTAACTGTAGTAACAGAAATATGGAGACAAGGACATATTTGAAAACTGAAAGATGGGAAAATCAAAAATATTTACCTTGATTGGCTGGCCGTGGCAGATGGAAAGAGGAAAGACAAGGATCACACCTTGGCTTCTGACATGGGTAGATAATAGTATTGTTTATTTAAAGGCAACATCGGATTGTTTAGGAATTATCTCTAAATTTAAAATTTCCCACCACATTATATTCTTTGTTCCTCGCGCATCCTGAAACTAGCTTTGGTATACACTGGTGAACACAAACAATTTATGAGGGGATGCTCTTCCAAGAAATCAACACAAATTCATAGTTGATGCAACAATGCCTTTATTGGGGGCTTAGGGACATATGACAAAGTCATAAAATGTCAATGAAGTCACACTTTGTGCTTGGCTACTCTTTAAAGAACCCTGTTTATTTATGAACTCACTTAATGAGAACTATGTGAGATACTGCCAATAATCATCATTTTTAAAACAAGACATGAGGAGTTTTAAGTCTAACTATCCCAGATATCTAAGTAAAAATTTACAATAGTCAAATATCCAGGTACTTCCAAATGTCTAGATGTTTGTCCTTAAGTAGACCTAGCCAAACCAACTCCTTCAAGATGGAATTACATTTTGAACCTTTGTGTTATCCAGCTGACCACTTTATTAATCACTGCTAAATGCCAACCAAATACAAAGGGGCATGTAAATAAGAGTGCGATTTCCTTGATTCTCGCTTGTAATGAATGAAGTATTCTTGAATTAGTTACATGGATAAGTGAGGATTACAATAGTAAATAACTATTGATATTTTCAAAAAACATAAGGAATACTGAAACAGTCATATATAAATACTCATGCAGAAGCACTTACAAATACATACTTGCATAAAGCTGGTCAAGAAAAAGCTCATTATGAGATTATTTTTTAAGGTGAACCAAGAATTCTTAATAACTACAGATTATCATTGTACATGTAATTTGGGCCATTATGTGTTCTTTAGGGATGGACCATTGACTATGCCGATATCTAAAAATGTTAAATCATAGCTTGCTTTTTCCATTGAGGTGGAAGCTAAAGTGATGCAGAAATGAAGCAATCTCCTAATTACAGTGCTCTCTGATCACCCCAACAGAATGTTTCATTGATCAAATTCAGGTTCATGTGTTTTTGAGAAAAGATAGTTCTAGAGCCACTACGATTAGGTTGGAGGGCCTGGTTTTTGGACCTAGCTCTGACACACTTGAATGTGTGATAATCTATAAATCACTCAGTCTGTATGGATTTATCTCCTCTATTAAAAAGCAAGCATATTATAACAGATGGCCATTAAGCTCCCCTCCCTTTTTTGTTTCTTAACAAATACGAGATTTTACACACACGCACACAAAAAGCTAAAATACTGATAAACTCCAATTCCCAGTTTTTTTCAAATAATCTATTTTATTACTCTAGTGTAATTTAACCAGAAAACAGAAATTTTTTGAGGGGATAATTAAAGTACCTATGTGTTTACCACAGAAAGAGGTCAAGAAGGGTTGAAGTGGTAATACTATAACACTAATCACAATTTTGTCACATAGTGCTTTAGACCATGAGCTTTGTAATCCCAGTTGTGAATATGAGTCCTGTACATGGCACTTTGGCAAGTTATTTCACCTTATTAAGCCTCAGTTTACTTATCTGTAGAATGGGGATGATATCTAATTTTTTCAGGAGTGTTGTGAGGCTTAAGTGGGTTAGTATGTAAGATGCTTAACATACAGTGAGAATTCAATAAATACCAATTATTATTAGGTTAACAGAAAAATTGCAACTTCTCCATGTTAGCACCAATCACTCTCAGTTGCTTTAATAGCAAAAAACAAACAAACAAACATATTTCTAGGCAACATCTGGGATAAGAGAGGCAAAGTATGTATAAAGGCTTTACCATGTATGTGTGTATCTATAGAGATACACATACACATGCATTGGTATGAGATGTCTGGGATGAAGTCAGCTAGACATGTGTATTCATAATTCCCTAAACTCACCGAGCTGATTCCTTCCCCTATAGCTTTATTTACTGTATTGGATCCATCTAAAGGACTCTATTTTCTCCTTACTTTCCATTTATCTAAATCTTCAACATTCTTTAAGATTCAACTTAGATTTTCTTTATCTGAGAACTTTTTTCCCTGAAGAGACCAGTTCCACCCAGTTTATGGTGACATTCTTTGAGCTCCTTGTTGAATCTTTTGGTTTGCTTCGCTTTCATCATCTAGTGACCTGAATTATTACTTATATCTCTAAAGGTTTCTGTACCTCTGTTTAACTAGGTTTAACTCTTTATAGAGGCCTCCTGGAGCATGTGACAATGACCAATCTATGGAGACTGGTGAGTGTCAGGTGAAATAATGTGTAGTTGTTAAACTGTGTTTCCACCATGGCTTTAGCCTTTAAGTTGTCTCTGACTTCATTTAAAAGTATTTTATACTCTCTAAAGTCATTCTTAAGATCAAACTCTGTGTGTGGCTAAAACTCTAGAGTATTAATCTTGTTCCTTCAAATTTTAACACATTTGTGCAATCTTAGATCTTTGAATTGGTGCATGAATAAGCATATTCACACTAGGAAAAAAAGAAAAGAAAATGTCACACTGAATTTAAATACAAACAGAGGTGTACACACGAGGAAGGGAAAGTCCTTGGCCGTTTAGAAATCTATGTGTCATTATTAAGTTTTTATGTTTCTTGTTCTGAGAGTTCTATTGGCTGAAACTGCACCACTTGGGTGTGTTGGTTAGCAGGAGAGGTGTCTTCAGGTGACTGCTTTCTCTCTTTCAACTTCACAGTTGGCTTGAGTGTCCATCAGTCATCAGTCTCTGCCTTCTTTGTCCTTTCATTGGGGAGACATTCCTGAGGAGGGGGGGCTATAGGACCAGCTGAAAGGAACATCAACACAACTAAAAAAATAACAGAACATGTCACAGAAAGTTATCACATTGACTCTTTAATAAAAATAAATAAATGTAATGATACTTTGGGGCCATGCTGTTTCTAACTACAAGTGAAATGCCACATCACCAGAAAAAAAAAAAGCTTTTTCTCATTATTCACCTTGCTCAAGAATCAGTCAAGAACGGTATTGCCTGCGTGGGTGTGAGAGCACCACGCTAATCACTCTGGAAGAAAATGCTCTGTAAGAAAAGCTTCAGGTTGATCCAACAGGCAACTTACTGAATAGGACATGTAGAAAAAGAACAGAAGAACACAGGACATTAAGGACACATTTAAATAAATCTAAGGACTCAATACAAAATAAAACAGCTAAGGGTACAAAACTGCTTAGCAATGCAGGAATGAAGAAAGTCCCCAGACTTGCCAGGAGTCAATGTCAATTCCTTGTATTTGTCTTTATATTTCTAGTGCCTAGCTCAGAGCAAGACGCATGGCACTCGCTGCAAGAATGAAAGAACAAAAGATAAGGAAGGAAAGAAAGAAAAAGAGACAGAGAATGAAGGAAGCGGGGGAAGAAAGAAAGAACGGTGAGGGAAGAGGTAGAAGGGAAGGGTAGAGGGAGGGCAGGAGGAGGAAGGAAAGAAAGGTTTCTGAAATGTGGAAAAGGTATAGGGATAGAAACAGTGTGCACTGGGATAAAAGAGGGTGCAAGCAAGTTCAATGACTTGGAAGGCAAGGAGAGCAGCAAATTGATTTCTTTCAAGACACTGTTCACTCCGACTGGTTTTAGAAGATGGGGTGGGGCAATTTTCAGGAGGTTTTGAGCATGTTCATATTTCATTTGGAAAGTGTGGTGTTAATGTAACTATTGTAGGCTGTGGATGGGAATAGTACCATGATTGAAATGAATCGAGTGGAAAGGGAAAAGTGAATACAAAGGCATCCACCCAATGGGGGAAAAAAAAAACAGCCATGCTGCAAGAAATTAAATGAAGGCAGGACTAAAGATGGGGCCTTAAAATAGAAAAGCAGGTGCTTGTCTGGGTTTCTTCTGTTAGCACTGAAGGAAATGCACTTAGAACTCAGATCAAAAATGTCTTTCTCCCCCTGTGTAGCTTTTTAGATTCTTCAGCTGTTCCTCTTTTCTGTCACTGCCCTTCCTGAAAATGAACTTCAGTCTTCACCATCTTAGCATCAAGACAAACTATGTTAGTAAATACAGAATCTGGAGGTGGAATCAAATATAACTTTAAAAGGCAACTGTTGGCACAAATAGACTCCGGATACCAGGGTCCTGGAGTTGTATTTGTACCTCTAGACTTCAGAATAGCTTCAACAATTCCCAGAGCAGTCAGAGAATTTAGAGACCAACCCACTCATTTCACAGAAAAGGATATTTGGGAAGAGCTGTATTCATGCTTCTTTTATTGTACAAAAGTTGTGATGAATGAAATATACTTTGCAGGTGGATTTTAATTTAACTCAAGCCTTTATTGTCAGCCTCTTCATTATGCTAGCACAATGTAGATGCATAATGAATTAGGCACACCAAAAGACAGACACTACCACATCTCCCTACTCAATGCCCTAAACACTTTCGATACTGTAAAGATGTTGATTCTCTAGATGGTAGGTGTAATATATACGTTTCTGTAAAACCTGTAAAACAACCTAGTGTTAAATATTGTTAATAGGCAGTTTTTGTTCTTTATCAAGTGCAATAACTAATCCCCTCCAAATAATTAAATAATACATCTTACAAATTTTAGCATTATTTTGTGAACACAGAGTGAAGAGGTGGTGGTAATAAGCTTTTGACATACGTGTGATAAATTAAATGCTTTTGGAGTGAAGGAGGATGTTACACACAATTTTGGGGTGAGACTTTGGGTTGCTAATAATGGAAAACCCATATACACAAGCTAACAGAAAGGAAAACAACATGTTGCTTTGGTATTGCATAGATAGAGGCCATGCAAAATGTCTCTTTTGTCACAGGGATTTCATTATTAAAATTAATTTGGAGGATAAATAGTATAAATATGTGAACCATCATATTTTAAGTATCTATCATGAGTCAAATGTTTAACAAATCAGTTTCCTTTGGGGCCTATCCCTACTTAATTGGAATGAGTAATACCTTATATCATCTCAACATGAGCCTCCTTGGAGTCCTTTTTGTCTCCCAAATGTATAAGCATAAATTAGGACCCTTGCATTGCCTTGCTTAGGGGTCTTCTGTGATCTGATGGTAATGATTTCCCAAATTTGCATCAAGAGCATCTTCACCTACTGAGCACATAACAAGCACCGAGTGCCAGGCTGGCCAATCAACTGGCCACTGCTTTGCCTGGAGTTTTTCAGAAACAGCTAGATCGTCAGGGGTCAGATCCTCGGGGGTGGTTGGGAGGGGGGCTCCAGTGGGGCCAGTAGATATCTGGTGTCATGTGGAGACACCAAAAGGGAAGTTGATGTTAGTGCACAGACGTCCTAAGGCAGAGTTGCAGCACTCATCATGTGCCATACAAAACGGAGGAAAATTAGAAAAGGAATTGTTTATTATTGTTAAGATTTTGCTTACTTTGATTGAATTAAAATTATTATTTCTGCCTAAGGCCATTTCCCTGGCATTTTAGCCCATTATTTCAATAAGGGAAATGGATTTCTTGTAAGATTCATTATTCCAATATTCTTTATTATTTCAAGTTGGCCAAAATCAGGATGAAGACTAAATCAGAAAGAGTGGCAAATGTTTTTACAAATAACACAGTGCAAGTCAACAATAATAACCCTTTTAGAGATCATTAATTTCCAACATCTAGGGCATACACATTCATATTTGCATGAGAACACAGGCAGTAGAGTCCTTTTATTCTTGTCTTAATTAACAAGGATTTTTTTTTTAAAGCCGACTTTAAAAACATTCTACTCAGGAGTCATTTCAACTGATGAGAAATGCCCAAGGAAAAAAAAAATCTCAAGTAGTCAACATGTAAAGCAACACACAACTATATGCACATTAGTATAATTACACATTGCAAATTATATCGGATGTATCTAATATCTAATTTTTTGAAAGCTGATTCCACTTGAGATTTCAATAACAGCATCAACATTTTGCAGGTGGCTCCTTCTGTATAGTATCCAAAGGGAATTATTCCTCTAATGTGCTTACAACCCTCAAGTAAAAGCTGAAGCTCTCCCTTAAAGGACCAATGAACAATGAACAGTGGGGATATTACCTTGATAGATAAAGCACGGGGGGAGGGTGCCACCAAATGTAATATTCAGCATGGTTATTTATTCTGGTCCTTCTGTGCATAGGATCCTTATTTGCTTCAAGCAATGAGAAACACACTTAACCATGATCCTCATCAGAAAATGTGGGGAAGGCTACATATATTCTGAGGCAATGAATCGAAAAGCTAAGGAGTTGATTTTTTAGGTTAACTGATAAAAGAGAAATGTACAATAGAATGGCAGATTATACCTTTGACTGAAAACAAGAGTTTACATTAAATTCTGCTCTTATAAAACACATAATTAATTTGTCCTAAAGAGTATACCAGATCAAAGCTCCATTTTGAGGGATAGGCTTTTGTCCTCATTTTTCTGTATGAATTAATCAATTATCAAATAATCAAATATATATGCATATATATGTGTGTATACATATATATACATATCCATATGTGTGTATGTATGTGTGTGTGTGTGGTCGTCTTACAGAATGGAGCATATTCTTCAAGTTGATTGGATCCATTTTCTTGATTCCTCCTTAAAGATCTTTCTGCTAATTTACTCAGGGTAACTATTGAATTATTTAATTATCTGCACTTTTGTGCAATGAAATATGTTGTCATATCACATACTTTATCATGCTGTTGCTGTTCACACTTAATGATGCCTCTATAGTTAGCAGTTTCCTTTGTTCTGCTCAGTAAGTGGTTTTAGAAAGGGGGTGGGCTGGGAAGGAGGAGCCTAGGGGTTTATAAAATAAAATCATACATTCCTGGTACACATGCAAAACTTTATGCATTTACATGAATTTCTTTTCAGAAATTAAGTTGCAATTCCATTTGGAATAAGCTAAGAGGCACATGTCGTGACTTCGAATGCAGTCAGTACGATATTACTATACCTTCACATCTCTCCAGTGCATTTCCACTGCAATGCCAGGGTAAAACCGACGATTTAATTTTTTTTTTTAATCAGCAAGGAATGTCTTTAACAAGGAAGAAGTAAATTATGATAATTACTCTGAATGGTCGGATCCTTGAGCATTACTAATTAGCATTTATTGCTTGGATTATAGAACAATACATGTGAAACTGAACTGCGATTGCTCTTTTACGTTGAAGAACTGAAAAAGGCAATGGAGCAAAAAGGCATTTCATCAGTACTTTTGTCAGGAGTCTACATCTCCGTGATAGTGGCAGAATTCCTCACTTTCAAAATATACAAAGTGGCCCTCAATATTTATGGTCCAATCTTTGTGTGTGTGTTAAACACATATTTACATATGCTATCATAATCATGGGAGACTAATGAGAGGAGAAACATTTTGGCTATGATGTCATTTTGGGACAAGTTTATCCATTGTGAAAATTTAACAATGAAGAGCATAAAACTCACTGTTTCATAGAAGTATGGATTTTTCTGTAGGAATGTTGACTTAAAAATGAAACAAAGAACTCAGTTCTTGGGGGATAACATTTTATATTCACCTCCCCACTTTCTCTTATAAAGAATACAGTGGAAAGTAATTGGGGAAGGGCAATTGATTTCTCATTTTAAATCCTTCTTTTCATTAAGAATTTACAGTAAGAGATACTGAAATTAGACATAAACTAGATTATTAATCAACAGACTGACATCAATTGTGTAAATATATGCCACTCCTATATTTGGCAACTGAAATTCCTAAATAACCTGATAGGTAGAAGGAGAGAAAGAGGAAAAATGAACGAACCATTCATCATTCTCTCTGTGGTCTCACCATTTC